GTAGTCAAAGTATACTATTTTTCGTGCATTGAATCGCATATTCGTTATGGAATCATTTTCTGGGGTAACTCTACAACATCAGACAGAATTTTTGTTTTACAGAAAAGGGCAATAAGATATATGTTTGGGCTAACTTATAGAGCATCATGCAAATCCACATTTGTTTAGGATAAAATTCTTACTCAGCCTTGTTTATACATTTTTGAGATACTGAAATTTGTGAAGCAAAATATGACTGACTTTGTGTATCAAAATGCTACTCATACATATCCAACACGGTATGGGCATAATTTACAATATGATATCCATAGATTAGAATTGTACTATGACTAGTTTGAAAAAGTTTATGTCTGCTATCAGATCATTATTGCTAGAGAATGCCTTTTATTCCGTGAATAGTACCTTCAGTACTCTGTTTAGTATAGGTAGATGGTTTGTGTGAATGGTGATGAGCGCAAGTATGAACATAATATGAGGATGGATGAATGGTCATTAGTTTAGGTAATAGTGAAAATTGTTAAAAACTCTAAAGACTTGTCCTATATCATAATTGTATGATCTTCTTGGATGAATAAAGGTATTCTATTCTATTCTATTCCATGGAATTACAATTCCACTCGCCTCCTGCTAAATTGTCTGCTGACACTCATGCAACCAATGCATGGGTGTCGTTTCAACTCAATTATTTGTCATAAACAAATTAACGTAATTCCAGCTTTGAATCATGACAGCAATTAGAAAATCTGACCAAATTAAAAGTCACAGCGTTCGAAACAGGAAGAACGCCTCGTATAGACGGATGTGACGTACCTATAATAATTACAGCGTGAAACATGCTTAACAAATTCTAATTAGCGTCTTAATAGGGATACACTAGTTAAAATAATTACGAAAACAATTTACACCACATCAATTGTGGAGGCGGTTCTGGAATGTCAGTTGCGAGTCAAAATGTTGTACAAGCAGTAGCAGTAGGCATCAGAAGGGCACTAGCGGATGACCAATTTGGGAAGATTACGTTGCACAAACGTTTGTTTGGCCACGTTGTTTAGTTGTGACTTTGCCTGTTGTTGCGATGTGTGAACGAGATTATATGAGTTGCGCACATGCCATTTTCTTTTGTTTCCGTTATTAGCCTGATTTGTTTGATGAGTATCTTGACAGGGGTTTAGTTTAACTTTTTCATCTTTGGTATCCAGATATACAGGGTGCTCCATATTGTAATAGTATTTGTATTTATAGAAATTGATCATCACTTCATGGCACTAAATTTATCAAAAAGTTCGGGTACTAATTACATTCGGAATCGATGCTAGGTTGGTAATTTTCCGCATTGGAAATGGGCATTACCTTTCGATATTGCTTACCTAGGTATTATCGCACGGTAAGCGGTTTTCGCAAATTCTACAGGAACTGGGCGTCTATGAACTCCGCTGACTGTTTCAATTTGGAGAAGTAGAATTATAATTAGAGATCTTGATATGAACGCGAGTTCGAGTGATGTTATTCCATTTGTACTTCTTGACAGTACATACCTTGTTAAGTATTCAGTAGATGTCAATAGATCTGTTTAAGATCTATTTTATGCTATACGAATTCCAAGAGAGTATAATTAAATAAACCTATAACGTCAAAATATTTCGTAGGTACTTTTAGTAAACAGAAAAGTACTATTTCCAACCAAAATAAAAACAAACAAAACAAATATTCCTATACAAAAATAATCATATTGATGATTTACAATTCACAAATACTCACAAATATCACGAAATATAGTTACATAGACATATGCAATTCAGGAGATCTACTGAAATGCAGTAAAACTGGCAACCGTGCAGCGAAGGAAATGTGTTTGCGGACAAAAAGTTAGTGTGTGCGGAAATGGAAGGTTTTTCATTGGGGTCGACGAAGAAAACATTATCTTGGGCTCTCCTTCAGATAGCTATAACCTCCAGAGAGCGATTTCTGGACCCATATTTATATGAACTTTATTCACTATTGTTGCTCCTAGGAACTGTGATTGAAATCTTTCTATGTAATTTCGAGACACCCTTCAGATATAGATATATACTATTTCAATCCCCCGTCATGATTGGGCCAGTCACAACCAACAAAGTGTGCTATTAGAACCGTATGCATAAGATAATACTCATGTCGATGCTCCAAAGCAAACATCCATTACAGAAGAACTTGTCGATGAAGATGAACATGTCAGTGAAGAAGCTGAGGAATATATCCATGGCTGACTGGATGTGAGATCCACTCTTGTATTTTAAATTTGTATCGACTCGTGCATTAGATTCTTCTAGATCGTCTGCCCACTCCTTGATTCACAACATCAATTTCCGTGAGGATCGTTGACTTGGACGCCGATGTTTCATAGAGGATGATTCAAAAACACATTTATTGCAGGAATAATTTTATTGCTATCTTGGAAAAAATATTGACATTTCTGTTGATTTATTCAAAATTTATCAACATCAAATCAGAACATTTTTATAGATTGTATAATATGTGACATTCCGCATCCTTATAATGATGTCTCAATTATTGAGTCACCTTAAATGTTGTCAATGTTATGTTAAGGAGCAGATTCATTTTCGATACGTCAATCTATATTTCTCTTCTTCGAATATTTTTCAACACCACATTTTTTTCTAAGGTTTCCTGATATAGTGAGATCCTTGAACGCAGTGACATTATGAGGAATATCATCTGATTCATCACCACTACATACAGGGTGATTCTAATACATATACTTTTCAAATTTTTAATCCAACTGATGATAGGCGAAAATTTCCTAATTTGTCTCCAATGTGAATCATCTATATCAATATCATCATGAAGAGGACAGATTCGATTGTTTGTTTGTTTGCATTGAATAGGCTAAGAACCTACTCGACTGATTTTTTTACCATGAGAAGCCGACATTATATTCTTGATGAACATAGGCTACTGCGGAAAAAGGTTTCATTCCAATTTCCAGCATATAACTTCTAAACGGCTGAACCGATTGAATTCGAATTTTTAATACGTGAAACAACGAAGAAAAATACAAAAGATACTAAGAAAATGAGAAAAGGTGAAGGCATATAATTGTAGCTATAAATGAGCACAGGAAATTAAAAAAAAATATTTGTACTGTAGTTACGCCTGAAGCTCAGAACGACTGTCTCATTTTTTTTGAATGGGTACACCAACCGTGTGAAGCCAAGACAAACAACTAGTTCTATATAAATCGAAATAATACTCATATTTTCATTTGAAGAAACGAGGAGGGAAAATTCCAAAAAATCTAGAAGAATAATAATTATTTATCAAATGTTGTGGTAATAGTTTTTCAACCTGACCTGAAATGTGTGTGTTTTTCTTGATGAATGTTCAATTAGTCAAAGAATGAATTACAGGAGAATCGCCCTGTACGTAATCGTACAGGAATAAACAGTGTTTGAAGATATCCAACGCTATTGGATATAATAATAAGAGTGCCTGATGGTAATTATCCAGGGTTTTATTGTTCCCTACGGGGGAATTTGAACGAAATATATATTTAGAAGAATTGAGCTCTGATTTGATTTATTATCTTCATAGAAAACGAACTTTCTTGCGCTGCAGTAATTATGAATAAATGTATTCATCAATATAGTAATCTTCATAAACGAATAAATCAAGTTGGTATTATCCAAATATACAGAATGATTCTTTCTGAAGTATTCATGTAATACTAATGTTTTCCAGATTCAATTCATTTTTAGTTGATCTCGATACTGAAATAACAGTTATTCGTAATCTTTACTAGAAAAATTATCTCTCAGCAGTTGTATGACTATCTGACAGATCCGAAACCATTTAAAAAGTATACGTTCGCTTCTCAGAATGAGAGCCACTGGTAATATTTGAAATTTGCACATCATTATGTTCCGTTCTGTAGTATCTTATTATGAAGCTGTGCCGTAATACCTAGACATTCTGCTGTCAGCTGGCCTGATGCGACTGATGAGGCTTGGAAGGCCGAAACAGTCTGTCTTGCATAAACAGACAATTAACTTACAAAAATCACCGTAAATCTGTCAGCTTCTGGAAGTAGAAAATAACATTTGTGGATAAAAAATATCTACTCACTCCACTTCACTAAATACCATGGAAGACCAACCTTCAGAATTATTTCGTCTAATTACTCCTCCATTGAATGTTCAATATTAACATAATAATTCTCGACACAAAGAAACATATTAGTTCAATATTGAATAATATTTCCTAATATCAACTGTTTCGGAGTTTATTATTGAAATAAGTACATTAATTAATGATGAAATCATATAATTTCGAATAAATATATTATATAACTGATATTATGATATTGTTATTCCATATTTTGCTTCAGGCTCCCACAAGGGCTTCAATAACTCACTCAATATCTGTATAGTAGGTACATCTTCAGCAATATGATAATAATAACATGTCTGGATCTGAAATTAAAAAAAAAATTGACTTGACTTACAGAAAAAAAGAAAAATAACCTTTCACGTGAAAAAATTACAAAGATTTGTTCAGCTCCTTACTACCAATTCAAACCATCTATCTATTATTCTTCCATTTCATTACATTTGGTGAATCAATTTATAATGATGAACGAGTACTCAATGTGAAATAAATTTTACTCACCCTATATTATATATATATTTGATTCTTCCATTAGTTCCATTGATCCAAGCAAGTTTCGACTTCTTTCCGATAGGTATTCGCCATGCATATTTGAAGAATTCGTTCAGTCTCAACACATGTTGATATTGTTCAAAGTAAAAAAATGTCCTCTCTTCATCTGTAGGTAACTGAAAAATGATGGAATAGTGATAAAAAAGAAATTAGTTGGTAAAAAATCGCTTATTTATTGTAGAGGACTGTTTTGGAAGGGCTCGGGTAATATCTGATAATGTTTCGTAACATCAAAAGAATATAGTTGATATCAAACTAACGAGGCCCTGAATAAACAACAAAGAATGTTTTCTCTCAGTGTAGTCTGGCAAATTGCGCTATTTTGTAGAAACTCGTTTTTCCCTACGTACTGTTTGTACGTACTGTTTTGTGGCATATCCGATATCATATATTCATCCCACAAACCTCATCTGTTGCCGCCAAAACTCAGCCGCCCCCATTTTGTTCCAGGTGGAGCCGGGGGACTGCTTCTAGACACAGGCTGCGGCCCCTCCTTCCTCCCATTACCGACGCCGGTCCTGGACCAAGTGGCCGCCGGCAACAAAGAACCTGGAGTCACCACCCTCAAGCTCCCGGAGACCTTCCAAAGGCCGTCGGACCCCTCGGTCCGCGACCTTGACCTCGAGGTCTGCTTCGTCTGCAAGAAGTGCCGACTGGCCTTCACCGGGGAATCCCCGCTGCTCATCCACCAGCGGCAGTGCTACGCAGGCGACCAAGCCAGCAGAGGAGCCTTCCGGATCGTCCAAGCAGGCTACGAGTGCCGCAGCTGCAGCAGCGAGCGCTTCAAGAGCTTCCTGGAGCTCAAGAAGCACTGCGACAGCGAGGCGCACTTCAAAGCCACAGGTGGGACAGGCAACAAGTTGACTTTCCTGCCGCCGCCTAGTGAGTCTCCCCTGAGCCACGAGATGGAAGACGTGGTCAACCAGATCACGTTGCTTGCCGCTCAGGCTCAGGTGGACTCAGGGAGCGGGTTCTGCCAGCCGGAGCCTAAGCGGAGGTTCTTGACGCCCGCAGACGTTGCTCAACCTTTAGCTACCGGACATTGAACCTCTACCAAGACGAAGCGCTCAGCTACGTTACACTGTCTCCTTGGCCTCTCTAGAGGCACCTATGTGCAATAATACTCCCCAGTTTCTTTATAGATTCATGGTATGATGGTGTATTGTAGCTGGGTGGGAGTATATCGGAGATTATCGCGGGGGCTGGAAGTCTTCTTGAAGGGGTTGAAAGTCTCCTGGAGGAGGCTAGTGGTCCTCTAGGCTAGCAAAGGAACTCGAACTTTCGATTTCCAAGTCCTACGTGTGGTGTTGGGGCTAGTGGTATAACGTGGGGGTTTTGAGGAAAGTTTGTGTGGGTGTCATGTCTTTTTTTGGTTTAGTGTGAAGAATCTGCAGGGTTCCAATTCGTGTGGAAGTCAAGGTTCCAAGTGGCTTCAAGAGAAGGTGAGTACCAACCTTATGATGTTGAAGAATCTATAGTTGGTCAATATTAAGGGAGCTTGTGACAAACATTCTTCAGGTCAAGTATAGATGATGAAGGACTAAGGACTAAGATACCTTGAATGACATGCGTATGAAAAGTCAATTCTTCTTTTAAAACTTGATTTGCTTCATGTTCAAGATGAATAAGTTGATATAGCAGAGTTACAATAGTTCATAGGTCTCTTAAGACATCTTGGTATGGACCTGCTAATAATTTTCAACCACAAACTAGATGATACCTGAACCCATGTTTTTCACATTGAATCGAAAAAGATGTAGGTACCTATAACCTTGTTTTCCTCAAAACACTCTCGCATTGATTTTTTCTCTCCAGTTGCCCTAGCACTGAGCTGATGTACCTACCTACTATTTATATATTTTGAGGTTATGACGTTATGTTGGTGTAGTTGTGTCAGTGTAGTCGTGTAATATGTTGTATAGTTGAGTAGGTCTGATGATTCCTATTGCAACGTATAGTTACTAATCAGTTGAGGGCTTCTGCTGGCAGGTCTCCGACGCCCTACACAGAGAAAAATATTTGATCGAAATTACGGACTCAAAATGTCCAAATTGTAATCTTTAGGTATTACCTTAAAATGAATGAATTTGAATGCTGATATATCTGGATAAGTTGAGGATTGGTATTTTCGATAATTCATCAATGGCATACTTAGTGAAAGATTGCCATGTTCAGTCATTTCACAAAAAAAATGTCTCGTATTGCGCATAGTTCTTATTGGACAATTATAATTCTCATCTGAGAACTCGAAATGGCTGATGGATATCGAATAAATATGACCTAGTGAAGAAGAAATTTGATACCATATGATTGAACAATATATCAGGAGTTAGTTGAAAATATGAAATTGGAATAATATTATTCATTAAAATTATATTAATTATGACCCAATAACAATTACTTTTGGCTTATTGAGCTATTGGTCAACATCAGTCAGCAGTCTTCAATAGATAACATGGAGATGTTGCCATGCATATTATTCATCAATTGGATACTAACATATCGCATTGTTCAATTGGTAATAGGTACATGTATACCTATTTGTTGAACATCCGCTATTATTACAAATTCAACTATTTCTGAAGAGATAAAATGAAAATCCTTCTCATGAAATTTCCAAGGAGATTTGTTAGTTCTAGTCAATTAGAGAAAATACAGCTCTCATTTTCCAGGAAAATAAAAATTGTTATTGAATCGACTCATGCTCAGCAGATCAACGAATTCATTGTAGAAAAAACATCACATTGTCAACGAAAATGCGAATCCACAACATTACTTGTCGAAAGTTATCAGCATCCTAATCCATATCAGCATCGAGTTATACCACCTCAAATGGTGTGATATTCATGCGGTACTAGACAATGATAAAAATTCACTCAAACAATGAATGTTCGGTATGTTGTCTATTATTTTTTCCTGTGTAGCAGCCGCCAGTTGTTCCTGACCTTCTGTGTATATCAAAACTGCGACATAAAATGTTCCTAACGAGATGTAGATACTACGTGTGGCACCCCCTAGCGGGGATATGCCAATGGGCCTGCGCCCAGTAAAACAAGTTCCTATCGGCCGAGCTTGAACGAATGGCATCGAGCTTGGCCGCTTTTTTATTCTTTATTATTAAATTATTACAAAAAAACTTTTATTATTATTACACTAATTATTATTGAAGTTGATAAGGCAAATGCTGTATTTATCATATATATGTATATGTAACTGAATATATCAGCTGGTAAGAGCACTTCAACAACACCTCTGGCCAGCAGTAAAAAAAAATTGGTTCCTACTAATAATAATCGATATACGGTGTTTTAAGTAATAATATAGTTATTATGTTTTAAACGTTGGGTTCACCGGCATTGTACGTATATATAGTAGTAGATATATATTTAAAATTTTAAATATATTAGGTTTACGTATCCAAAATAACTCAAAAATGGGAAATACCTCGGTATGACCTACCTCGCATTCTAGTGAGTTGATTTGGAACTAAGTGTGATTGTTGATATAGCGAAATCCATCTGGTTCTCGAAGATTTGCCCATTTCGATCCGATACTCGGTATATAATCAATTACCTTTATTAGGAAGGTATGAAGATCAAGCTTAGAAATCAACATGATTCCTATGATGAACACAAAATGAATTACTCGTTAGATACTTGTTAGAAATATTTTCCAGAGAAACAATTTGAGAGAGGCGATATTGTTCAGTCTATCGATATGAATTTCATAGGCTACACATGTGGGGGAAGAAAGAGAGAGATACGAATTTGATCTTTTGCTAATAATTCTCTCTTCTTTTTCTTAGCAATTGCAGTATAAAACCAGGTATGTAACACAATGTAACATAAGGTAGACAGTCCTTCAGTAAGCGTGTCCCCAAGATTGTTCTGAAAAATAAACAAATACCAAAAATCGCTCCTTGACCTGATATAGACATTTCAGACATAAAATGATGGAGTTATCCCTATATAGCCTTTGAAGAGCAGATGTATAATATGGCAGCAAACCATTGAATATACATGGTGGGTCACGGTGGATGGCCTATTAGAAGTATCTGGAGAACATTCTGAAAATTAGGATGCTTCGATAGTTGATCATTTTCTATTCGTCTAAAATGTTTCCATCGATACAGTGTTGCCACTTTTATCAGAAACAACTAGCAACTTTGTTATTTCAAATAGATCACACTGTATTTTATTGCATTTTTAGATTCTTCCTGAGGAGCTGATTCCATCAATGCATCACACTTTGGGTCTAGCAGGAATGATTACAGAGATATAGGGTGTTCAAAATCGAGATTTTTTAATTTTGGGATTTTTTTGTGTCGAAACTATTCATTATCGATCAAAACGGTTTACATGTCCCTATCTTAACTTCCGATCCACTATCTACTAACATTTAATTGGCACAGATATAGGGTGATCAGAATTCTGAATCATGAAGCACCCTGTATTTTTTCCAATTAAATTCCAGTAGATAGTGAATCAAAAGTTAAAATAGGGACATGTACGCCGTTTTGATCAGAAATGAATAGTTTCGACACAAAAAAATCCTAAAATTGAAAAATCTAGATTTTGAATACCCTATATCTCTGTAATCATTTCTGCTTGACCCCAAGTATGATACGTCGATGAAATCAGCTCCTCAGGGAGAATCTAAAAATGCAATAAAATACAGGGTGTTCCATTAGAAATAACAAAGTTGCTAGTTGTTTCTGATAGAAGTGGCAACACTGTATCGATGAAAATATTTTAGACAAATAGAGAATGTTCAATCATCAGAGCATCCCAATTTTCAGAATGTTCTGTCTTTTCGTTCTCCAAATACCTCTAATAGGCCATCCACCGTGACCCACCCTGTATAAGTTGTATCTAATCTGGATTTGTCTCGGAATTTGTGAAGTAACATTGTCTCGGGAAATGTATCTTGAATATTATGTCCCAAGGACCTCTTTTATCTATACACTATCAGAGCAAATTCCATTGGCAGGAACTGTGGGGAGTGTATATTTACCTCTGTTCAACACAATCATGTGAGTGAGAAGGAAACACATACCTACATTGAGTGCAGAAACACTCCACCAGTTCATTTCAATGGAATTCGCTTTTAAACAACTCCAATATTCTACCTTTCCATATATCATAACACTCCTTGACCCTTTCAGAACCCTTCAGAACCTATCCATGATATTCTCCAAAAGCCCAACACGTACTTCAATTCAAGTATACAGAGAAGTGCACAAAAAACGGCCAGGACTTTACCTATTGAATTATTCTAGATAGGATTTTGAGAATTGGTGGGTAGCAAGTATAACAAATTGCTCATTAATTTATGAAACAATTTTTCTTCTTTCACTTCTAGTTTCACCGCAAACGACGCCAACTTTCGATATTCAAATGGGACACCCTGTATAGTATTCCATAATCGGTTAGGGATTATCAGGACGAACTCAACGATATCGGGTTTGATAGGGTTATTTCAAATGATTCAGATTCAGATTCAGGTTCAGATTTATTCAGATACCATAAGTTACAGACAATTTTGTTATAATGTTGACATTATAATTCCACTTCAAAAACAAGTAATCTACCTAAGCAATCGAGATGCTTGTATCGTAGCATTACGTTATTTTCGAGTGGTCTATGGATGAATTTGATATAAGCGAACAGATCGTGAAATTGGTCAATTCATCAAGATTCAAGAATAAACATAAAAAGATAAAGAGATAAAAAAGATAAAGAAACGACAACTTTAGGAATCTATAGCGAACGCGAGAGGTGAAGGAATTATGGATATGCTGGGATTCATTGCGAGAAAGACAAGCTAGAGATTTCAGCAATTTTTTGAAATTTCTATTTCTTTTTGTACATTGATCTTTTTTCATGATGCATTAATTATTAAAAAAATTTCAATATATTTTCTTTCTTATACTGAAATATGAATTGTTTGATTAAAACTTTATATTTTGACAAACGGTTAGTGATTTTGATATGATTTGGTAACAGATTATGTAATTTTGGTCCATAATCCAAAATCTTTGTGAATGCGTTTTCCTAAATATTGGTGAGACAATTGACTTATTTTCGACAAATCTGGTGTGTTTGAATTTGGGAGTGTCATATTTGTCTTTATTGTGAAACATCCAAATTAAACATTGGTAGACATAAAGGCTTCTTATATCTAATATTTGGATTTCCTTATAGAGCTGTTCAGTAGAAAATAGTTTATTTTTTTTATGTATTATTTTCAGTAATGTATTGATTGTAATTTCATCATCATATCACTGAATAATCCTCCGCACGCTGTAATGCAGTATCTAATAACTGATTCGGCTAATGAATCATATAGTATCATCAAGTTTTTTTTACTCAAGATCTCTCTGATGCTGTAGAATTTGTGAATCAATTACCTTAATCTTTTGATAACATGGGAGACATGATCATGATTACAAAGATATTTGCGTTAGAAGTTTCTATTTGCTCAATGGGTGTGACTTCGGAATATCAAAACTTCTATCTCTGTCTGTCTGGAAACTG